AGACGTTATCGTTGTTGAGAGGTTATTTCAGGACTACCGGGAATTTTACGGGAATAAGAGGATGTGGATGGTGTAGGTTTCAAAGATAATGTTTCTGAAGTATTTAACGCTGCGTATCTAATTAATGCCAACTACCTGCCTTGTTACTCTTCCTTTCTGATAATTCAGTAAAAATTGTGTGAATTGAATTTGGGCACGAAGATTGAAGTATTTTCTATGAGTTTGGTAAAACGATCCCTAAATAATGAAAGATCTAGATATTTTTGTTTTGCTGTCACGTCTTTTCGCAACAAATATTTTTCCAGTGTACTTTATGTCATTTTCTTTTTAATTTTTCAATTCTTGTCGCCAACAAGTACCAGAAATAGGAATTATGAGTACTACCTATAAAGCAAGGGAGAGTTATTCGAAAATAAAATAGTGAACATTGTTTGTGATTATTTAGAATTGGTTCGAAGGACCAAAATTAACACTGCGACCGTTTTAGTTGGGATTTATTCCAGAACTCGAGCTACAAATTGTGTGTACCGGTACCGACTAAATGGGGTGGGTGGGACACACCCCCACCTCTCACAACCCCAGGTACCTGCTAAAAATGATTGGATATGGAATTTCCAACAAATATTTTAACCTACTTTTGTAAATAAATGAACTAGATCAGGAATTTCTTTTATAAACTTATTTATATCTGCTGCTGTAAGTATTTTTGACTTTTTGCTGTTATATCCAGAAGATTGCCTTTTTAGAAATGCTTGAAGTTTAATATGTATAACATAATGACGATGGCTTGAATTTTACCAAAATATGCCATGAGAATGATCTCTGAAAATGATGTAACCTTGTTTTGGATCGCCGGTTCATGAATTTCTGATTTGTATTGTATTGAACTTTGTATCTCTTTTTGGAATTTTTAGGTAAGAGATTATTGCGAGCAGCGGCTGCTAGAGCAGTTATTTCAGGGAGAGTTAGTTCTAAACACTGTGAATCACTTTCTGAAGACATTTCAACTTCCATTTTTTTGTAAAAGCAAATATTTTTTGTTTATAGTTGTTGCTCTGGAAAGCATTCAAACATGCACGTAGTATACATATATATACCTATTACGTACTGCCATTGCATGTCAGTGTGTGTAACTATGGATTTACTGTGAGGATAAACAGTTTGTAATTCACACATTACTATGTGGGAGTAGAAACATGTAATTTTTATAATATTATGCATGAAGGATAAAGATAAATGGTACAAAAATGACAGCCATGAAACAACACTGGTATCCACATTCCCGTCCTTTGCTATTTACTTAAAATATCATACCTATTATGTACTATCTATAATTTTGTTTAGTAAAATTTCGTCCGTTGTTTTTAAACCGTCGGAAAAGTTGCACTCAAATTTGTCGAATATTCAGAAAATATAAAAAAAAAATTGGTCCAATGTTGTGCTTCGTCAGAACTTTCATCGCTACTGAAATACAATGAAACATTTCCAGCATTTTCGAAAAATTATAAAATTTGATTTTGCGGACTTTATTTTTTATGAGAACTTCTATAAATTGAAATAAACATGTATGTGACGTTAAATCACAAGTAAAAACATCACATTTTGCACATTTTAGATAGGCTTTATTAGGCAAAATTTTGAGGTGACTCATTTATCTTTGAGGGGGCATAGTAAATATATTTTGATTCAAAATTTGTCATGGTTATGATAACCTTAAAACATCTCAAAGTATTCGGTTTTACAGATTCAAAATTAAATTGCAAAATGTTGTTATATAATTTTGCTTTTTTTTTCAAAAAATCTGAACGTTTCAGGCAAAAACTCAACATGGATTTATACAATCTAAAACCCATTTACTGTGTACAATTTTGAGGTGTAGTGCAATATCACATTGTCAATGGGGAAGATTAGACAATGTTTGGTTAGCGTTTTACCATCTACATGATAATCATAATACACATATAAAATTTGACAGCAAGCGATTAAGAAATATTTACAATTTTTACAAGCTAATGCAATTTGATTCGATTTTCGTCGCATTTATTCGGATCCTTTCGGCACAATAGTCACGCGTATTGGTCGAACATAAGCACCGCAAGAAACTTGCGTCGGTTACGGAGCCACTTCCGGGTGTGGAGTTGTAAATGCATGTTAACAAAACCTGATGAACTTTCTTCCGTTGCGTCATCCGGGTCCGTTTGCGTATGCGGAATAGCTATAAATCCAGCTTAATGCTTTGAAATCTTGCAGACGTTGTAAGATTATCGTGAGCATAATAAATTTTTAATCAAAATGTTTTTGTTTATCTTCTCCAAAAAAATTATGACGCAATCTCAAAATTTTTGCCGAATAAATCCTACCTAAAATGTGCAAAATATGATGGTGATGAGTCTATACTTGCAATTTATTACTGCATCATATTTTCATAATTGCTTATACAGGGGAATAAAAAAAAAAATGAATAAGTCAACTTATTTTGTTGATTAAATCAGGAACTGCAAAGCCGAATGCTTTGAAGTCTTGCAGACGTTTTAAAGCGATCGTAAGCATGTGAATTTTTGATCAAAATATATCGGTTTATCCCCACAAAAAACTGATGACGAATAAAAAGTTCTATTGCTGTGGTGCACAAATAATAATTATTAATTACTAATGCTGCAAAAAGTTTACGACGTAGTATTTTAAAAATATAATTGTTTTTCATTGCATTGCAGTACGTTATACGGGGGTTTTCGGAGCCCCAGAAAAATAATTAAAAAATCTTTAGTTGTAGATTACAAATAAAAGTATTTTTATAAAAGTAGCGTCTTTGACTTACTTTCGGAAGTAATGACTAGGACTGGAATCCACCTTTTTACTTCCCGAGCGTAAATTAAGAAATTTTTGTAATGGAGTTCATCGGGCGACTAGTAGTTTGTATATTTTCTTGATGTGTCAGGATCCCTAGAGTGTAAAAAAATAGGTTTCCCGTTTCCGTCGTCTTTGTTGATATTTCTTAGACATATAATCTACGAAACTACCGCACCGATTGTTGTCAAATTTTATACGTGTATTATGAATATCATGTAGATGGTAAAACTTGTGGGTAAAACGCTAACCAAAAATTAGCTAATCATCCACACCAACAACGTGATGACCTGACTTCACAATTGCCCTTTGTTTTAATTTGTGTACAATAGCATAGTCCTACACGTGTAGTTTATGAATCCGTGTTGAGTTTTTACTTGAAACATCCAGGTTTTTGGGAAAAATCAAAATTATATAACAACATTTTGCAATTTATTTTTGAATCTGCAACACCGGATGCTATGAAATCTTGGAAACGTTTCAAAGTTGTCATAAGCATAGTAATTTTTTAATCAAAATATGTCTGCTTATCCACACCCTCAAAAAAATTAATGACGTAATCTCAAAATTTTGCAGAATAAATCCTTTCGAAAATGTACAAAATATGATCAGACTGTACTTGTCATTGCATTCATATTTTCTATAATTGCTTATGCAGGGTAACTCAAAAAAAAAATTAATGTGTCAGTTTATTTTATTGATTAAATCAGAAACGGTTTTCTCCATTTTGCCGAACATTTGGGAATAGAATACTATTATTATTAGTATTACACTGCACTTAACCAAGTTGGTATATAGTTGTCCCAGTCTGACTCCGTTTTTATAGCACTGCAATCTCACTTACTGCAAGCATTAGGAACTCTATTGAAAATATAAATAGTCCTGCCATAAATCATCTTAAGAATTGGTCTGTTGATGGTTTATGACCGCTGGATGACTTGCGGCAAGGCCTATTGTGGAAGACTTAACTTCTTCACAATACGATGCAGTCGTAAAAACGAACCAACTCTTGGAACACTATACGAGTCCTTGAAAAATTGTTCATAGGATTTCATCACAAAATTATTGCAAAAATGCTTCTTTACATTTACTTTAAGATTACATACATATTTTTATTTTAACTTATAGAAATCCGCATATAAAATAAATTCGTAAAAGCAAATGTTATATTTTTTTAAGAAAGCTGATTGAGGGAAGTTCCGTCGAAATAACCTTCGATCCATTTTTTTATTTGTAGCAGAACTCTTCTATTATTTAATATAAAATGATAGTATATTATTACAAAAAATCACTTTTCCCAGAATAAAATATATTAACTTTTCTAAGTTTATAAAAACCTTAGCTGTATATATTTAGTTTTAATAAAATATCTAGTAATTCCGCAAGTAAACATTGCATTTTACTCTTCATCGTTTTATGTGATAACATATTTGTACCTTGGCTGATTAAGAAACGATTGAATGAAGATGTATTACTTTCAAGTGACAACAGTCCCGCGACAATTCTTATCAAAACTCATTGTATTAAAATTTGGCGTTAAACATCCACTTTAGTTCAAATTACACTGAACTAATTTACGATAAGAAAAAAAAGAATCTACTTTGTTGCCTCGAAAGGTGTTTTTTCAAATGAAAAAAGGCAGATAAAGCGGTAGCGATAATAAATTCTTATGATTCTTATGAATGACCAGCCATGTTTTTCTGACATCCGCATTGTCACTGTCAATTTAAGATAAACGTTACCGAGATTACTGTTTTTCTCTGAAACAGTCTGAAATAAAACAAATTATTTAAAAGTGTGTTTTTCGATAGACAGTAACCTAGTTAATATAACGAATTACTTACTACGAAATAGATACCGACAATAAAATCAATCCAAGTCTGTTTTCCGGTCCGAGTGTGACAACACCGGATTATACTAAAAAAAAGCAAAGTTGTTCAAAATTTGTTCATCCTTTATCTTGCAACATATTTTTGCATTGGTTACTGATTTATCTGAGATTTTTGATAAGATTATCCCGATATAAAACACTTATAGCTCATTTCTTTTTAATTGTACACCAGCTTTCACAATGACAGGTGAAAAAACTCAAGTTCGTGTTCATATACGCTTTTTCTTGACTTTCGTTTCTCTACCTTGTTTCTCGTTTCCAGATGACGAAAAAGTTCTTTGCCTCTTTAACTCGCAAAAAAACTCTCGATGCCGAAGAAACCAGCGAACTTGCTCGAGTTTTGTCTTTGCTGGACCTTTCGGCTTTGGGTGTTGGGTCCACGTTGGGTCTTGGCGTTTACGTGCTAGCTGGATCCGTAGCAAAAAATATATCGGGGCCTGCCGTTTGCATTTCTTTCCTGGTCGCAGCCGTCGCTTCTGCTGTTGCAGGTAAGGTAAGCTAGGGGTCATTCATTTGTACTTTCAGTTTCTTCCATATTTGGAACGGTAAAGTTGTCATTAAAATAGTTTAAATAGGAACTGGTGCACATGTAGATAAATCTGTAGATAACCAAGTCTCGTTTGCAAAATTCTCTGCACGTTTCTAAATTATTAATTATAATCGTTAGACGTTAGAAGATAAGAGTGATTTTATAGATAATTATCAAATATGTGGGTTAAGTGACCGCAAACCCGCTTAACGGTAGACGAAACGTTGATCTTTTTGTAATACTTTTTATCTAGATGATTATTTAGTTATTGTGGGATCTAACAATAAGTGGTATGCGACGTAAGTTTGTCCTAAATGCCTCGATAAATTGCCCTTGTGATCAGAATTTTTAATTTTATGACGTTATTCTTCAAGGTAATGTTGCCAAATTTAAGGTGTGAATTTAACTGAATTGTTATTTAGATAGGGTTTGAATAACATCTTTAATATTTTAATGTTCCAAATGTTACAACGACTAGCTGTATTTTGTTACTGCTATTTCAGCCTTTCGGTTGCTAAATTTCGAAACATTTTTGCTTTTAAAACTAAAAAATTCATGTCTACTTTGACTTAATACCATCAAAAACTTGTTAAACACCCCTTACGTTGAGCATTAATTCACTATCAGGAGGATGTTTTGTACAATAAAATGTCTCTAAACTGACTCTTATTTCAAAATTTCTGAAAAAGAAATGTGAGTAATTTTGATTTATTTAAAAAATATCATGTACGAGTAGATAATGAAACGTTAAACAAAATTTGTTCACTTATTACTCTCACCAAAAACACGATTTCATCCTCAAATTTTGTAAGTAAATCGTATTCAAAATATGTATGTATAATTTTAGAAAAATATTTCAAATTTTACAACAAAATTTTACCGTTTAGATATCTTAGGAATGACTCTAGTGAATTTTTGCATATGCTTTAAGTTTTGGTTGTAAATGCCATTTTTTCTTAAACTCTCATATTCAGGTAACATTATCCTTATTACTTGGAAAATTTCGACAAGCAAAATTTTATTATGGTGGGGAAATTTTGAGACGATTTCTCATGGTGGTAAATTATACTACGAAATGGTAAATGCGTTATTAATGATTTTTTTAAAGCATATGATGTTTCCTACGTCACATAAGATGTTAACCGTAATGATTTGACGTTCATTGTTTGAGATATCGCGTCAGTTAAAAAAAATTCTGATATAACTTGTAATTATAAAAACTCCCTATTTAGCGAACATGTAACAATTTGTTTTTGGAATAAATTGAAGTAAATAAATCCAATGCAAACCATACCATCAGAACGTATGAACTGAAAAACAACGAAGAAATATAGTTTCTAAAAAAATACGAAAATCATAAATAAATTAAATGAAATTTAAAATCAGTAGATGTGCAGTGATAAAAATTCTGTGATAAAAGTTGCAGGCCTTTTCAACAGGAAGTTTCGAAATTGTTTGTGTCAAATGTGTTGTCCATTTTTTAATCTTTGATCTTTAATTAGTTTTTTATATATAAGATGATGCATTAAAGGTTAAAGTTTGATGTACCTAATGATAATGATAAAATGCACGTATTACTTTGTCTTGTAGATATCAGTCATAATTATACAAAAGGATATGTAAAAAACGTAGTAGAGGTACTCTATCTTATCAGTCATAATTAAAATTGTCCTTATGTTATAATAACGACCATTTTATTGGACAATAATTTTATTAAATACTCATATCTCATTTTTTGATTAGTTCATATATTGTAAAATCGTATGTTATACTCGAATGTTTAATTGATTTTAACCACTTTTACATATATTAAGTATTCATCTAATATTAATTCTTAAAGTTAATTTAAGTGTTTTATAAAATTTATTTTATGAATTATTGAAATACATAGTACCAAACAACAACCTGGAAAGAAAAACTCAACAGGTTTTGTATTTATATGTATACTGAGTAACAAAAAAGTGGCGCACTAGAAAAAAGTGGGGTTACGTGTTACTGTGTGGCAGTTATTTGTTTCCATTTCTTTCGGTCTGTGACTACACTTTTACAGTTTTCCACTCCTTTTGTTTTCAGATCTTCCTGCACCTTCTCTAGCCATTTCTTTCTTGGGCGTCCTCTTCTTCGTTTCTCACCCTTCCTCCTTCTAATACTCTTTTTGCTATTCTTTGTCCTGAAATTCTAGATATGTGGCCTAACCATCTGATTCTTTGCGCTCGAATTTTTTGTGTGATCCTCAGTCTTCTATACAGGTTCATGACTTCCTGGTTTGTCCTTCTTCTCCATTCTCCTTCTGTACTTTTGATTCCTCCGAAAATTTTTCTCCGTATTTTTCTTTCCCATGTTTCTAATTTCGTTTCGTCTTGTTTATTCACTGTCCATGTTTCATTTACGTACGTTACCACTGGTCTTATGATTGTTTCGTACATTCGTATTTTTGGTTTTCGCGGTATATTTTTTCTCTGCATTATTGATGTTAAGAGAACCCATTGCTCTGCTGCCTTTTAGCATTCTTTTTTCTATTTTCTTTGCTTCTTTGGCTTTACTTATTATTGTGGCTCCTAGGTAAATAAATTAATTTACTTTTTCTATCTTGTATTTTTTCTATCTGTTTTTAATTTAATATACTCGTATCTATCTTCTCTTACGTCATCTGTATTCATTTCCATGTATTTCGTCTTCTGCTCCTATTTTCAGTAGTTCTGCAGGTATTCCATTTTCTCCGGGGCTTTTATGACTTTTCATTTCTTGTATCATTCTACTCACTTCTTGTCTGATTGGTTCTTCTATTTTTTTTTGTTTTTCACTGGTTTCTTGTCTTCTTGTTTTCACTACTTTTGGCTGTTGTTCTTCCCCCGTTCTTGTCATTTAGTACGTCTTCAAAATATTCCGCCCATCTGTATAGTTTTTCTACTGTGTCTCCAATCAGTTGTCCCTCTTTACTTCTTCTGTATACCGTTCTCGGGCTCGTGGTCTATCTTGTCTTCCTGACTTCTTGGTAGAAGTTTTGTATCTCTTTATTTTGGTAGTGTTTTTCTATTGCATCCATTTTTTTTCCAAATGTTCTCTCTTTTTCCTTCTGCATATTTGTTTGGCTATTTTCCTTTTTTCTTCATAATATTTTATTGCTTCCTTTGTTGGTTTTTGATCTTTTCCTATTTTTGCAATGTTTCTACTTATCAAGGCCAATCTTCCCTTCTACTTCTTCGTTCGGTGTTATCCATGTATTTCTTTGCTGTTGCTACCATTTCTGTTTTAATTTGGCTCCATTCATCTTCTATTGTTTCGTGTGTTGTATCTTTATTTTCTAGTCTTTTATTTAATTATATCTCAATTTGTTGTGTTATTTTCTTGGCATTTAGTATCTCAACATTGACTCGTTTTCTTTCTTTTTAGTTTTCTATTGGTTGGTAGTTTTTCTTTTATTTTTGCTATAACTATATTTTGCTTTTTTCTTTATATACATAGTATTCTTTGAACAACACGATGCTCAAAAACATGTTTTTAATTTCTTGTAAAGAAATACGTATTTTGCAGTTCAGCTCCAGCTCCTTGGTTCACGGCTAATAAAAAAAAACACCTCAATTGAGATAGGACGGGTGGGGGGGGGGTGTTACATTTGCCTTTGTTTTAATATACAGTATGTCCCCAGATTGAGTTCACAAGAGGAAAAAAAACTGTATTTTCTATTTTACAAAAAAATGACGTAGGAATAACATTTTTTGCTTAGTTCAAAACGAATAAATCTGCAATTAAAACTTCAATATTCCTGGTCTGTACTCTTAAAATTATTTTTTTCATATTTCTAAGTTCTTGGTTACTTTTAGTTTTTTTCGATTTTAGGGACACAGCCTGATAATATTAAAATTTTAATTGCAGATTTATTCGTTTTGAATTAAGCAAAAAATGTTATTCCTATGTCATTTTTTTGTAAAATAGAAAATACAGTTTTTTTCCCTCTTGTGAACTCAATCCGGGGACATACTGTATGTAGACTTCTTTTCACTCACAGGAAACTTGAAACATATTTAAAATGAAAAAATGTACCATTTTAGCCATGTTCTAAGTTTCTTGTTGTGAATAGATGGCTACATATATTAAGAAAAAAAAAGGCAAAATATAAGCCCCGCCCACCCGCCCTATCTCACTTGTGATGATTTTTTTATTCGTCGTGAGCCAAGAGGGCGGAGCTTAATTACAAAATACTTATTTCTATACAAGAAGTAAAAGACATGTTTTTCAGTATCGCGTTGTTCAAAGAATATTAAGAAAAAGACAGGCCAAAAATTAAGCCCCACCCATCACAAGCTTAATTGTGATAAATTTTTCATTCGTTGTCAGACCGAGGGGCGGAACCTACTTGCAAAATCGATGCTTTCCTACAAAAATTTACCATTTCAGACATGTTTTATTAAGTTTCTTGTTGTTGAAATAAGTCTACACATATTAAGAAAAAAAGGCAAAATGTTGTAAATTTTAAACGAATTTCATAATTACGTATATTGATGTATGCTATTCCCAATGTCTGGAAATAAAGGAATTGGTTTACGAGATTTCGTGTATATTTTACGACTTCAAATTTTGGTTATTCATTAGTCATTTCACGATATATGATATATCGAAATTTATCATTTAATTTTCAAAATGGTAAAATTCAGCTCCGATGAGACGTTTAAAAGTATATTTTATGTGCGGGTCAAAAACGTTCATTGAGAGAAGCAACCAACCGCAACACGTTCTGGTTTCGCTCAATCAGTCTTACAGATATACATAGGTATTATAAACACAGGTTTCATTTTAAATATAAAAACATAATGTAGGTTTATTTTTGAAGATACCTACCGTTAGAAGCTGTAATTTTATAATTAGTATTTCAGCATTACGTAATAGGACATACAAAAGGAACCAGGATAAGTAAAAAAACGTATTAACAATGTATTTAATTGCTTTGGATCGTAGAGA